CGCCTGCCAAGCAAGTGTAAAGCCCTGACTTCAAACCCCAGTGCCGCAAAAAAAAAAAAAAAAAAGGGATAGTTAAAAAAGGAAGTGTTAAATTCTCAGAAAAATTTACAATTTAATTATTCAACATAATTATTACCAAAAATTAAATTATGTAAACTTATAATTAAATAGATTATATTTAAACATCACTTCCTAATGATTATACTATGATCAGTGTTCTTGAAGTTATTGGCATCTGTGGTAGCTGGATGGAGGAAACACCACAGCATGGTGTCCTACTGTGCACCTCTTCTCCATTGTTCACTCACAATGTTACATTAACAGCTTGAGTTGCCCATGTAGTTACACCATGAAAATCCACAATTGAAAAAAACACAGCTGCTTTATTTTCCCCAGGAGAGCCAGTTGTTATACATTTACCAGCACATCACCAGTGTAGTCCTCACATACTAACTCTTACAAATCTTTTTTTTTTTTTTTAGTTTGCTTGTTGGTGGTACTGGGTCTTGAGCTTCTTAAGCAAGGGCTCTACCACTTGAGTCACACCTCCACCCCATTTTGCTTTAGTTTTATATTTTAGGGGGGGGTTATATAGGATCTCACACTTTTGTTTGGATCAGCCTCAGACCTTGATCTTCCTACCTCCACCTCCTGAGTAGCTGGATTACAGGTGAACACCACCACGCTTGGTAAGATTCTAAAAGAATTTAGTGGACCAAGTTGAGAAGTCTTTCTTCGTTCCTAATCCCCATGATCCCTATGGCAATGCTAATTTTACACAGTTAGGCCATCTGCAGCCTAGAAGGAGGCCTTTTAGCCACAAATACTGTGTCACAAGAGGGATGTTTGAAGCAATGTTTCTCCACAAACTTTTATTTAGCAGCCTCTATGGGCAAAGTAGTATGACGAAGGTTCGGGAAGTTATGAGATAAGTAGTAGTTTGTATTCCTGTGGAACTCACTGCAGAGGTGACCCTAAACCTGTGGATAATACAAGGTGATAAGCGCTGTAATGGAGAAACAGAAGCCTGGTGGGGAGAGAAGCTAACTCTGAGGTCATCAAGCTACTTCAAAGAGAACATGAACTCTAAGCATCAGTATCTGTCTTGTTCTCCGCTGTGTCCCTAGCACCTGGCACACTGCCTGACACAAAGTTGGCACTCAATGATTATTGCATGCAGGAAGGATTCGAGGTAACAATGACCTTGGCCTTGGAAAAATAAGTAAGCTTGCCAGACGATAGGATGGGTACAGAAAGGGCACACCAGTGGGTTCCAATGCCTCACACCTGTAATCCTAGCTACTTGGGAGGCAGAGATCAGGAGGATCATGGTTAGAAGCCAGCCCCAGGGGCAAATAGTTCACGAGACCCTATCTCAAAAATAACCAACACAAAAAAGGGCTGGCAGAGTGGCTCAAGTGGTAGAGTGCCTACCTAGCAAGCATGAGGCCCTGAGTTCAAACCCTAGTACCACCAAAAAGAGAAGAAAGAAAGAAAGGGCATTCCAGACCTATGCAGGAAAAAGAGCTCAGCACATTTGGAGAAAAACATTAATGTGGCATAGGGACCTGGGGACAGGACTGGTAAAAGGTGAAATCATGGAAGAGAAGTTCTCTCTCCCTGCCTCCAATCTCAGCAGTGCTCTCAAGAGGCAAAAGGAGGACCACATGTGGTGCTACTGCCTGTAATTGCAGCTATCTGGTAGGCTGAGGCAAGAGGATCAAGAGTTCAAGGCTAGTCTGGGCAACTTAGCCAGACTTTGTCTCAAAAGAAAAAATGATAAAGGGGTAAACAGCTTGCTTAGCATGTGCAAGGCCCTGGGTTCCATGTCTAATACTGAAAACGAAAGAAAGAAGGATGGGAAGGGAGGGGAGGGGGAACAAAGAAGTTGGTTCGTTCTACAGAGCCCTGGGAATAGAGCTAAGAGCAATGCAGGAAAGCACAGAGAATCAGATTTCAGCATCATATAAAGAACTTTCTAGCAGAGCTGTCCAACAGTGCAATGGGCTGCCTTGGAAGAAATGAGCCAGTGCTTCTCTGTTAGGGAGCACAGAAGCAAGCAGACGCCCGACAAATTCTTGGTACAACAAATTGCTATGGGTAGATGCATTTTTCTCCAAACTAGCTTTGGAAGAATTTGTCAAACCTCATTTTTAAAAGATTAGATGATATATGGACAACTTTCTTCAATAATTTTTCTGCAGAAGCCCCAGAAACTTTCCTGAAGTGTTTGTTTATTATGTCCTCTCTACTCCCATTCCATGGTGCTAGGGATCAATCCAGGGCCTCACTTGAGGAAGGCAAACTCCATCACTGAAACACATATGTTTCTTAATGATTAGAGTTCAGGTCAGCTGGGCGCTGGTGACTCATGCCTATAATCCTAGCCTACTCAGGAGGCAGAGATTAGGAAAATCAGGGTTCAAAGCCAAAGAAAGGAAGGGAGGGAGGGAGAGAAGAAGGAAGGAAGGAAGGAAGGAAAGAAAGAAAGAACTTCCTTTAGAGGAATCAGGGAAGGCCTTAGAACTGACTTTTGAAAAATAATGATTCACTAGCCAGACATAGTGGTACATGTGTGTAATATCGCAACTTGGAAGGCTGAGACAGAATCAAGAGTTCAAAGCCAGCCTGGACAACTTGGTGAGACCCTGTCTCAAAGTTTTAAAAGGACTGAGGATGTAACTCAGTGGTAAATGGCTTGTTTAGCATGCTCAAGGCCATAGGTTCTATCCCTAGCATGGGGGTGGGAGGAAAGGAGTCACTAGAGGGAGGAGGAGATTGTCCAGGCATAAGGAAAATATGTATAAAGATATGGAGGCATTGGAGAAGTGAATGCTTGGTAAAAGTGTGTGTGTGTGGGGGGGGGGTAACAATAGAGAGGAGGCAAAAATGTGCGTGATCTTGTAACCAGCACTGAAATTTTTAAATTTTAATCAGTAAATAATACAAAGACCCTAGTGGGTTTTGAGTAGGAAAGTGAGGTGATCAGATTTGTAGCAGAAATGATCAGTATAGTTTTTATGGCAGATGTGAGGAAAGTATGTTGAAGGGGTCCGGCCTAGGGGCAGGAGGTTGTTAAGAGACCGTTGGGGAGCCAGGTGTCACGGTTCATGATGCTGGAGGATTTCGAGTTCTAGGCCTGCCTAGGCTACGTAGTCAGACCCTATCAAAAAAGGAAGGGAAGAGAAGAAGAAAAAAAAAGAGAAGAGAAGAAAAGGAAAAGAAGAGGCTGTTGGGAAAGTCCAAGTAAGGAATGATGATGTCCTGAACTCTGGGGATGAAGAAGAAGAGGAGGGTTGGGATGGTAGAGCCCTTTTGTGAAGGAGAATGAGCAGAATGTAGGCGATGCCAATCTTAAACGTAAGATAAGCATATGTATGCACAGCATACTTTAAATAAAGATAAAGGGGACGATCTCTGTCTCAAACCCTTGGGATGAGCTCGCACAGTAATTAAGCATTAAATTTAACTCTGAGCTCTGCGAAAGTGGAGGCAAAGGGGAAGCACACTGACACACATAGCTGTCATTATCTGTTAAAATGAAGCACTGTACACTCAAGGGAGAAGGAGAGACTGGCCAGATCTGAAGGGGAGAAGCCATGGAGGCGGGTCCTGTTTGTCCCTGATTCTGAGAGCCCAGTGGAGGGCTACTTTTGTGTTCCTCCTACTGCTCACTGTTGGGACAGGGGACTGGCTAGCAACACAGCAGAAGAGGAGCCCGGCCCTGGCTGGGGAAGGTGCCTTTACACAGGGCCAGAGCTTTTGGAACCTGGAAATCTGTTTCCCTATCACAGTGGATTGAAGTCCACATCCCTTCTCCCTTCTTACTCCTCTAGTGTTCTCTTTCCAACACTGCTCAGAGTTTCCAGTAGCTCTGCAAGGAAACCTGAGCAGGAAGTAGCAGTCCAAAACATGGAAGGATGGATGTATTTATTCAAAGTGGCCCGGCAAGTTAGAGACAGAGCCAGGACGATTCTGACTTTTGATTTCAAGAGCAGGGGTATTTCTGGTGTGAGCAAAACTTGGTTCTCTTCTCGGGGTCGCTCATGTGCTCATGCAACACAACCGTTGGCTGGGGGTGTCAGGGCCCTGCCCTCAGGGAGGTCACCTTCTGGTAGAGAGACAACCCTCTGACAGCCCGTTTGAGCCTTGAACATGGCGGTTACAGGCAGAGAGGTGCGGCCTCACCTGTCCAGGCAAAGGAGCGATCACAGCCTGTTTAGGGGAGTGAGAGGGAAAGGACTTCCACGAATGTCAAAGGAGCCTGCCGGGCTGTATTCAGCCAGGGGATGGCGCTTGGGGGGAACGGATGGGGAACAGAGGGCAATTGGCACCTTTGGCACCTGGAATTACGGCGGCTTCCCGTTGAGGCTACAGTGCTTTGACGTTCACGATCCCATTTCATCTTCACAACAATTGTGGGAAGATATTAAAAGACGTTAAAATCCCCCACTTTAGAGCTGGGGAAACAGACTCCTAGGTGGCGTGCCCGAGACCACAAACTGAATCAAGAATGGCAAGTGTCTTGATTCTATCCAGATGCCGAGCTCTGTGCACGCATCGCCAAGCGCCCTACCCTAAGCTTTCCCGCTTCCCGCAGTCCACCTCCCACCGGTATTCCAACATCTCATCCTTTTCCACCTGAAAGTTCTACCTGAGGTCTACTGGGCTTCCGCCCTCCTGCACTCTGGGCATCGCGGGAAATCAGGGGTTAAAAACCCCGGGACTGGGGAGGGGGGCCCTTCCCCTCCCCAGTCCCCTCGTCTCCACTCGGCGCCGCGCCTGGAGCGTCGGTCCCGCAGACCGGCACGAGAGAGGAGGGGAAAAGTGGGCCTGTTTCTCGAGTGGCCAATCCACGAGCCCGCGGTGCCCCAGAGGAGGCGCCAGCGCTAGGCCAGCGCCAGGCCGGGGCTGCCTGCTTCCCGCGGCAAAGTACAAATGCGCCCGAGCGCGGCGCCTGGCGCCCTTGGCGTGCACAGCCGGCCCGCGCTCAGCCTCCCCCGCGGCCGCTGCGCCGCCGCCGCCCCGCCGGGCCCCGAGCCCGAGCCCACCGAGCAGGGGACGCCCGCCGCCTCCAGCCCGCGCGTCCGGAGCACCGCGGGTCCCGCACGCCTCGCCCGGAGCCGCGCGCCCTGCAGACTCCGGTCCTCGCCCCTCTTTCTTCTCCTCTCGCTCTCACCTTCTCCCTTTCTTTGATCGCTTTCTCCTCCTGCCGGACCTCCCTCCATCTCTCCCTCCTTCCCCCTGGTCCGCTTTCTACCTTTCTCCTGTTCTCACCTTGTTGTCCTTTTCTCCTCTCCACTCTTCTCTGACTCCTCCAGCAGCAGCCCTCCCTGGCCCTGCAGACTGATTTGTGCCCCTGTGCCTCAGTGTCTCTCGTCTCACTTTCTCCCGGCTCAGCGCCGGGCGGCCGGACCCCGGGGGAAGGAAGGATGGTTCCCGAGGTGAGGATCCTCTCCTCCTTGCTGGGACTCGCGCTGCTCTGGTTTCCCTTGGACTCCCACGCTCGAGCCCGTAAGTAGAGGCCGAAGCTGGGCTGGTAGAGAAGGGATGCCGGCCCCTGGGATGTGCGGGAAAATGCCAGGACCTGGGACCCCTAACTGTTGTGACAGCCATCCAAGCAGCACCTGCGCGGGAGGGGTGGAGACTCCCCTGCCCACCAGTATAGGTTGGTGAGTCTGGGAGGGGACCGGGAGCGGTAGGGGCTGCTGCTATGGACCTGAGAGATGGCAGAACTGAGGGCAGGGCACCGTGCTTTGGGGAAGGGGACTTAACTTCTTGTAGAGAGAGTAGGGTGTGTTTGGCTGCAGGAAAGGGACGCAGGGAAGACAGAAATGCTGTGTACTTGGGACGTGTCCCCTGGAAAGAAAGAAGAGCTAAGTAGGATAACCTTTCTAGTCCTTTATCTCTTTTGGTCTTCACCTTATTCCAATATAGTGGGTATATCACTTGTATTTTATAGCCCAGAAAAACGTAGGCTGAGCAAAGAGAAGAAACTTGTTGGAATTTACAGAGCTACTAAGTCATCTAAAGCCAGAACACTCTAATTCTGAATTCTGCCTCACTGTGTCTGGAAAGGACCCTGATTTGGAGTTGTGAGACTGTGGGAGGCAGCAGGACACAGTGAACTAAACCAGGGTCCTTATCCTCCAGGCCCTACTGACTACCAGCTGCTGGGAGGCAGACATGGGGGGCACCTCTCTGAGCCTCAGTTTTCTAATCTACATAATGGGAGTAAAAATCCCAGGACTATTATGAGAATTAAATTATAGAAAACAGGTATAACAACTTAGCAAGAAGATGATCCAGGTAGCTACTCAAAAATCTACTAGTGTGTCACACAACTGTAATCCCAGCACTTGGGAGGTTGAGGCAGGAGAATCTCAGTTCCAGGTCAGCCTGGGCTACATAGGGAGAGATTGTCTCAAAAACCCAAACAAAATCAGTTGCCTAACTCATTCTTTTCTGTTTCAGACACAGTCCAACATCAAGCAGGTCTGAACCTCATTTTCTCACCACCCCCACAGTAGGCTGGTAGACGCCCCCCTTGGCATCCTTTGCCAATCTTTAGAATGCTGTGAGGATGTAAAACCAACCCAAAGATTCTCTTAATGAGTAAGGAGTTTAGTTCAGACCCTGAAATACTTGATAAAGAAACCAGGTGAAGGAGGAGCAGTGGCTTGCTCCAGGTCACAAGGTCAGAGCCCAGGATTAAGACCCCAGTTGCACAACTCCCAGCACGGTGCTCTTTTGTCTCCGCAGCTCAGCTCCCCCTCCATGCCTTTCTTTGCACGTGACTTTCTGGAGCTGATGGTGCTGGATTTTGTTTCAGTCTTGTCAGTGCTGAGGGAAAGTCTGCATGTCTGTCTGATGTCCCCAGCCTGCCAGCTGCGTGAGACTCATAGATAACCTTAGAAACAAGTTATGGAAAGAGCTAAGTGTTGGGTTCAAGTCCTGGCTCTGTCTCTTATATCTGTGTGACTCTTCATAAGTCATGACTTCTCTGAGCCTCAGTTTTTTCATCTGCCTAAGACAGGTATTAACCTAGAACCTTAAGGATTCTGGGGAGATTAAGGAAGGCAATGTGTTAAACTACCCAGCACAGTGTGAATACTCAGTAAATGCCTCCTCCCTTCCTTGAACCCTGAGGGTTTCCTCTAACACCTGTGTGTTGTTTCTTGAAAGAGAATTAGCATGGAGACCCCAAGCCTGCTTGCCTTCCTCTTGGTCCCTGTCCTTAGCCCCAATGTTTTACTCTGGCTCTCACTGCCCTTGGTGCGTGGTGGTGGAAAAATGTCCTAGAGTCTGACCCCTCCTCTTTTTCTCCTTTGTCGACTCTTCAGAGCTTCACTTCGGTTACTTCTTTCAGAAAACTCTCCTGGTGACCTGATCCCCTCTGACCTTCCCTCCTCTGTGTCTCTATTGGCCTTCAAGTACATATCTTGAAGGTCTTGAAGGTCTTGCCAGTATTTCATCTCCCATTACAGCCTTGTAAATACAGGGCTCTAGGTGCACAAGAAAAAGACTTGGAACCAAGTCACTGAGTTAAGAAGAGGTAACTGGCTGTCAGAACTGGAAGAACCTTTTTGTCTGCTTCCTCTCATCCAATGACCTGTCCTTAGAGTTAAACTGAAGTCCAAAAAGGGGAGTGATTTGCCACAAGATCACACAGTGATTTATTAAAGAAAAGAACAGAGACCTGGATCCTAGTCTCTGAATTGTCATTTGTTGGCTATGTGAATTGGACAAATCACTTCCCTTCTTTGAACCTTATGTTGTCTAGAGTGACAATCTGCAAATCTTGAAATGATCCTGCAGTCATTTGCCAAGATGACTTGCAGGTCATCCTGTCTGCAGGTCTCTTGCAAAGGGCCTTATCTTAGTGTGAGTGGAATCTCTAGCTTGTTGTGGGTAAGAAGTGTCTTGGTGCCATCCTAGGTTCTTTCAGAAGTGGTGCCAACAAATGCGAACTCTCAATTCTTTGTGGTGTCACACTCCCGGGGTGACTAGGATGCATGGCTTGGAAGCAGGGGTTTTGGCATGCTCCCCCATTGAACTCCAATGCTGTTCAGCAAAGGTTATTCTCTCTTTGGCTCTATTTCCAGCCATGGTTCAAATCCTGGTACCAATCCAAGCAGAGTTTCTATTGCAACCACAGGCTGAGCCCTAGCTCTCCAACCCTAACCACAACCCCAGTTCTACTCCCGGCTGCAGCCCTTACATGGGCTGGGTCTCTGGCCTGGTTACTACCTGGGATTGACCCCAGCCAGGTGTGATATTGGTTACCCTATTCTGTTCACTCATCTCTAGGTCCCAGAAGTGACCTCAGGCCTTAACGCCCCATCCAGTGCTCTTTCTCCTACATTGACTGCCCTCCTTTGTGCTCTTCCCTTACTAATTGTCCCTTTTAGGTGGACAGCATGCTTCTGTTTTGTCCTCCCTGCCTCCATCCAATGTTGCTTTCACAAGAGTCAGTTACCCAGTAAAATCCTCCATCCCTCCATTCTTTCTTCAAGGCTTTGTGTATTACAGGCATTGAAGCTTTGGTTCCCAGGCGATGGAACCACAGACCCCAGAAGCAGGCTGGTACAGGAAAGCAGCTCTCCATAGTATGATGTGGTACAGAGGACAAACTTGGAATCAGAAATTCAGGGGTCTAGCCCTGGCTTTACCCCTGATTCCAACTGTGACCCAGGGAAAATCACCTTTCTCTGCCCCTCAGTTTTTCCACCTGTAAGATGAGATGATTAGAATCAAATGCATGATCACTGAGGACCACTCCAGCTTTAAGAGCCTGTCATTCTAAGTCTCTAAGCTCCAGAAGTGTGGTTGCCTGGATTTTGAGTCCTTTGGCAGGGAAAGGGAAGTTGAGGGAGTGTGAATATTCCTGCCTGGCTGTGGAGGAATGGACACACAGACCCTTGGATGCCAGGAAGGGGTGACTTGAGGGCCTGGGGCAGTGGGTGTACTGGGAGACACCCCAGTGGGGACCCTTCCCTGCTGTTCAGCTTAGCTACATCCCCATCCACCTGTCCAGATGTTCCTAAGCAAAGGCGGTTAGTCCAGCACCAGGCAGGCCCCTCTCTGGGTCTCTGACCCTGTTCCGCATCTCTCTACTCCCACCAGTAGAGGTCTCTGCCTCACTCACTGGCTCGCAGGCTGCTGAGCCGCCTGTGACAGCTGCGCAACGCTCCAGCTGTTGCACCTGTTTCAGGACTGGCCTCTCAAGTTCCCCCAGTCTCCGCCTGCTGTGGCGCCAGTTCTGGGAGAAGGACCTTGAGTCCCTTGGACTCCTCAAGAGAGAGACTGGCATGGAAGTGGCGTCCCTGGTGGGGGCAGTGCAGAGATCATTCAGGCTTCCCCCTGCCTCTGAACAGGACCCCATCTTGGTGCCCATTCTTGTATTCAGGTGTACTTCGTTATGTCTCACTTGAGTCCTTTTGTTTGGAAGTCCAAATCACTTCTGGTCCTGTCCCTTTGGGGGAGGGCATCCCTATGAATATGCTCTCCAGATGTTCAGACTGCCATTGGAGTCCTGGTCCCTCAGGGCTCACTTTCCACATCTGCAGAATGAGGAGATTAGACATCCTCCAAGTCCCTAACTTTCTAGAATTCTACAAATCTAAGTATATATGTCCAAGGCAGAATAGAATGCAGAGAGTCTCATCCTTGCCCCCACCCATGGCAGGTGACAAAGATGCCCTTTTGGCTTGATGATTCTCTCCTCTGAGGTGCCTCTGTGCTCCTGCCCATCTGTCATGTGCCAGATGAAGGGAGTCAGGTTCAGAGAGGTGTGTCGCTTTCCCTAGGTTGCATAGCTCAGCCACTGAAGCATTGAGGTTTTTCTTCTGATTCCCTTAAGAGGCCTCCCCCATCAAGTGCCAGAGCCCAGAGCAGAGCTTATGTCATAGAGGGGAGCAAGTTTGTTTGTGTGAAGAGGGGACTATAAATAAATAGAGAAAGTATGGCTGTGTGGGAGGGAGGGAAGAGATGTAAACGGTTCCCGCATTCCTGAGCAGCCTGGCTCACTCAGGTTTCCTGAGTTCTTATAGGCTGGGGACAGGCCAGCCACAACTCCAGACCTCTCCTCTCACTTCAGCCCCTCCTCATGCATTTTGCTGGCCTCCTCCAGCCTCCCCTCCAGCCCAGAACCTGTTTTCTGATCAGCTTTTCTGCTTCCCATTGGAAGAATTTGCGGCCACAATACCCATCCCTAACTGACTCCCTATGAGACCTTTATCATAGCATGAGAGTTTCAAGTCACACTGTGGGATGCACTTGGATGGGGACAGTTTAGAAATTGTGACTTACATGTGAAGATCATGGAATTACTCATCCCTTTAGCTGCCCTGGCTCCTGACCTTTTTGCACATGGTGTTCTTCGGTGTGGCAGGTGGTTTTGGAAGTCAGTGGCGGGAGCCGGAAGGAGGAGGTCAAAGGCCAATTGCTGTTAGGTGTCAAGGTAAACCTACTGAGAGGGGCTTGGCTCTCTTTTCACTTAATGAAGTTCTCTC